GTGGATGGATCACTTATTCAGTTTTGTCCTACAAATTAAAATCAAGTCACTCTTAAAGCGACCTCTTCAAATTGCTTTCGAAATGGTGCAGACCTCGCGGCGCTCCTGGTGTGTCGTGGCCACACTTACCCATCATTTTCAGCACCTTCGTTTCACGGGTGCGCTGCCCCTCACCTCAGTTCCCTGCCTGGCCTTACCTGTGCCCGACCTGGATTGTCACAGCCAGATCCCCGGACATCTGAGCCTGTCCAAGAAGAATAGACAGGACGGAGGTCCAAGAGGCAGAGAAGGCTTCACTCAGAACTACTGCCTCTAAAAGTGAGCAGCCACTGTGGGAAACGGGGTGTGGTGCCATTCCCCCGGAAATCAAAGAATCACCCTATGATCCATCAGTTACTCTCTGGACACACACCCCAGAGAATTTAAATAGGAACTCGAGCAGGTTGTGGACACCTATTCACCCATCACCATCATCCCCAATAACCACAGCCAGAAGGAATGTAAGTGTCCATCAGCCCATGAATGGATAAGTGAAACGGGGGGTGTTGAGGGGGGGGGCGTATGTATACATACACACACACACCAAGGATATTAATTAGCCTTAAAAAGAAAGGAAATTCTGGGCTGGGGATATGGCTCAGTTGGTAGAGTGCTTTCCTTGCATGCACAAGGCCCTGGGTTCAATCCCCAGCACCATAAAAAAAAGAAGAAGAAAGGAAATTCTGATGCCACACAGATGAACCTTAATGATGCTAAGTGAAATAAACCAGCCACAAAAGGAACTATAGGACTGTGGCTTCTGGGAACTGGAATGGGGGCCTTGAGGAGGGGTAATAGGGAGTCTCATGGGTATAGAGTTCCAGTAGGCGAGGATACAGTTCTACCGATGAGTGGTGTGGTCAGTTGCAGAACAATATGAATGTACTTCGCACAGCTATAGTTACACTTGGAAGTAGTTGTGTGTATTATATAAGGTGATGATCGCTCTGACACAGGAAGCAGAGGATAACACTTGGTCTATGGAAGGAGGTCTAGACTCACCGAATTTACTTGAGCTTTTGTTAGTCAGCTTTCCATTACTATAACAAAAATACCTGACAAGAACAACTGAGGAACAGAAAAGTCCATTTTGGGCTTCAGCTCTTGATCAGCCAACTCCACTGCTCTGGACCCAAGGTAAAGCAGAGCATCGTGGCACAAGGGCGTGGTGGGGGAACTCTGCTCAGCTCAGCTGAGAAGCAGAGAGAGAAGCAGGGAGCAGCCAGGGGCAAGGTACAGTCCAAGGCCACCCCCCTGATGACCTACTTCCTCCAGCCACGCCCCACCTGCCCTCCGTTACCACCCAGTAGCCATTCAAATTGTCAAGTCCATCAAGTGGCTTGATCCACTAAAGAGGTTGCGGCTCTCATAAGTTCACCATTTACCCCTGAACACTACCCGACACTGAGGTTTTCAGGGGACACCTCATGTCCAAACCATAACAGAGCCCATATTGACACTCCTCTAGGCCTCAGCCCAACACCCCTAAGTGAACACAGCAGGGATCCATGGTCTGAACTGGCACCGAGCCCCACTCTGCTCTTCTGGGGGTGTAGGTGTGTGCCCCTGGCGGCGGGGCCATGACCTTGCTTGGATCCCCACTGAAGACCCACTGACGGGAACGGTTCATCTCTCGGGCCTCTTCCAGCCCCCAGCATTATAAAGACAGAAGCCCTGCAAACAGTCACAGCCTCCCCACATTTGGAACTTGGACGTCCTCTGATCCTTAAATAGACACCATGAAAACGGGGAGCTGCCTGGGAGGGGAAGCAGCCCCACCGCACACCACCTCAGCGGGTTTGCTCCGACTCGGCTCTTCCCTATTCAGGTAGAAAACCCGAGCTGGGGGCGCACGGCCCTGAGGAAATCTCAGTCCTGGGATTTGGTCACGTTGTCCTGTGGGCAGGGGGCTGCGGAGGGGAAGTGAAGGGGTGAGGGATCTTTACTGGTATCGACAGAGTACCTGGACGCCCCCATATTTCCTTGGCCCAGAAACTCTTGGAGCCAACAAGCACCTGAAGAGCCATCACACGCGCGTTCTCGGTACATCTGAGTCTGGGGTGCGACTTTTCTCCACCCTGGGCACGAAAACACGGGAAGAACCTCTTTCCCAGAGGATTTTGCGAATCTAGTCTTCACCTCATCACCCAAAGAAAGGCGCTCACTCTACTGACTTGAGAAGAAAGACAGCAGCCGCTGGCCTGGGAACACCACCCGGGACAGTGAGGACAGTGGGGTGATCATCACGTTCACGAAAGGCCGCTCTTCTGGCCGTATCCAGGTGCCGCTAATGCCTCCCATCCACCCTACCAAACGGCTTTCCTTCGTAATATATTCAAGAGTGGAAAAATGTAATGGATTCTTCTGAGATATTCAATTAGCTCGATAAAAGGAGAAAAATAATTTTTCAATAAAGAAATTTAGCCAAATGACTAAAGCTGGCGGTGGAAAACCAACCTCAAAGTAATTATGCATTTCTTTTGAGTTCTTTCTCTAACAAAAGTGGATGATAACGCCACGGTGGGAATCAGCCCTCCTTCCAGCCGTTATTCAGCAGGGATTTGTGGAATGTTCACTCTGAGAGTGTCTTTGGGTGTTGACATGTTTACGTCCCCGCCAGCCCCGCGAGAGCATCTGTCCTCGCGGCTCAGCTTCCCTCAAGGCCGTTTCCTCCCCGTGAAGGACACCAGCTCCCCAGGACACCAGCACCGTCCCTGCAGAATCCCGGGCTGCCCTTGTTCCTCACCCTCGGGGGTCACCCGCACCCATCCATGGGTTGCCTTCTCTTCTGCAGAACCACCAGTGGCCTTTAAAGTTTGGGGTTTCCCAGGGCTGCACCCCACGGGCCTTCTCACTTCCCCCTTGGCATCCGAGCTTGCCAGAGGTCCCAAAACCTCCCTGTGTGGACGGCACCCGCCTCCGACTCAGCTCGGGCTCCTCGCAAGCTGCACACCTCAGCACGGCGTGTTGGCTTTGAGGGGCCACAGCACAACGCCGGGCCCACGGTGCTTCCACCGGCCTCTGCTTGTCCCCTGGCAGCCAGAGCTGAGCTCATAAGGACAAGGCACTTCCCACCTGGTCAGGTTGCCCACGCCATGACCCCTTACCTATTCCATCGCCACCTCCCGGCCAGCAGCCTCTGACCCCTCCTGTCAATACAGTTATGTGTCTTCTAAAAGTGACTCCGATTGTTCCACAACTTCTGGTGGCTTTGTGCCCCCCAGAGAAACAGCACAGGTTCCCGTGACCACCAAGGCCCTCACGCCCCACCTGCCCTTTCCCGTGTCCCCCGTGTCCCCCCTTCAAGATGCCCCACTGTGGAGGAGCAGACCCACATGGCACCTGGTGACCGCCCACAGATAGCCACCAAGGGAGGGCTCACCCTCAGCGGCCTGGGGTCCTCCGGGTTCCTCGAGGCCCGTCTTAGGGCACAGCTGAAGGCCACAGAACTGCTGCTCCAAGCCTGGCTCGTGCCACAGCCGTGTCACATGCACAGTGTCCACTCCTTCTTCTCCTGCCCCTGTCAGTGAGAAACTGGACCTAAAAGGGTTCCTTTGCAGTTTGCCTGCTGAGCTTGAGAGTCCTGTCTCCCAGCTTCAGTCAGAGATGCCACACCCAGCTGACCCCCGGTGACTCAACAGCTCTGAACTCACCGTGCTTTCGAAACACCAATGGGACACGAGATAAAATAACCTGGACGGCTGATGAAGTGCCATCAAAGTTGGGTCAATCCCATCTAGTTCCCCTGTGTAAAGTCACAGAGGCTCCTCAATCTAGGATGGGTTACATCCCGATAAAGCCATCGAAAGCTGGAAATTGTCATAAGCCGAAAGCACACATTTACTCACCCACCGGACACCGCAGCACAGCCGGCTGCTCAGAACACGACCCTGCGTACGGTGGGGTCGAATCATTTAAATACAGAGCTGACTTTTGACAGAGTGCCGAGTAGCTCGTGTGATCTATTGAGGTGACAAACAGAAGGACAGGCAGGCCTGCTCCCACACCATCGAGAGTTGAAAAGTCAGGGCTGTGGGGAGACTACTCTAATTTCAGGGGTGCATCAGGTCCTTATGGGAACAAGCCCAGTGTTCACACTTAAAATCTGTGTCCTCCAAATTTGGCTCTAGTTTTGCTGAGTTAAAATCAGAAACCACTAATGAATGGTTTTTCCTGAGAGCAGACTTCTAATGCACAGGTGGACTCAGAGTCAGGCTGAGTCTTACTGACATTCAATACCCTTCCTTTAAGTGAAAGATGGATGATTATAAGGGCGTCTTGAAATAACGGACCCTAAAAGAAAAAACAGTTCAGGAAATAACTGAAACATTGAAGGAGAAAAGGCTCTAAATGTAAGGTCCAGAGGTTGTATTATGATTGCTTCCACTGCACAGTGGCCAGCAGGAGGATTTATTTCTCATGACTACCCTACCTTCCAAATCTGTCCTGACCTGAGGTTTGGCTGCCCCAGCCACCAAAGGCCCTTTTCCTCCCAAGAGGAAAGGCCCGTGCGTCGGCTGTTAACTCTCTAGTTGGGTCCAGCCACTCCGAAGAACCCTCGGTTCCTGTCCCCGCATTTCTAGCCTTCCTACTGCACCACGTGGCCAGCACCAGGCTTCCCAGATGAAAGGCTTAACTTGAGAAGCAAGGAACGTGACCCCGGTTGTCTTTAATCTTCCAGTGCCTCTCATGTGTTAAATGACTTTTGGGTCAGAAACTCAGCCTTCCAAATGCAAAGGATTTAGCTGGAAGAATCTTAATCAACAGTCTCAGATATGATTTAAAAAGAAGTCTTTGTAAACCACTAAACTTTATACCAAAAATGCAATCTATTGTGGTTGGTCCTGCCTGAGACTGCTGATAATTGTGGATGCGAAATGCAGTAAGTATGCACTGCAGAAGTACCATGTGGTCACCCTCCGGTTCACCAGTTGCCCACTAATGCCTTGCCCCTCCCACAGGCAACCCTCCGGCCACGGGCACCGGGACCCTGCTGATAACCCTGGAAGACGTGAACGACAACGCTCCCTTCATCTACCCCACGGTGGCCGAGGTCTGCGATGATGCCAAGAACCTCAGTGTGGTCATTTTGGGAGCGACAGACAAGGACCTTCACCCAAACACAGATCCTTTCAAGTTTGAGATCCACAAGCCCACCGTCCCTGACCGAGTCTGGAAGATCTCCAAGATCAACAGTAAGTGGCTGGAACCTTGCACCCACCTCCAGGTCTGAACTTCGATTCTCTGCTTCTCTTTCCAAAATGCTCTTCCTCTCCTACTCTCTGGGTTCTCAGGGTTTAAGTTACTCATGCATTGTAGAATGCTGACGGTTTCCTTTGGCATGCATTTATTTATTTATTTGTTTGTTTGTTTATTTATTTATTTTCGTACTGGAGATTGAACCCAAGGGTTCTCAACCACTGAGCTGCACCCCAGCCCTCTTTTTATTTTTTAATTTGAGACAGGGTCTCTCTAAGTTGCTGAGGCTGGCCTCATCCTTGCAATCCTCCTGCCCCAGCCTCCTGAGTCCCTGGGATTACAGGCATGTGCCACTGCACCCAGCTGGACAGTTTTCCTACCAGCAATTGAGTCCAGTCCATTGAAGATCAGTTTCTTATAACTGCAAACATGGAAGTTTCCTCTTCTGCTTCCCGCCCTCTGTTGTGCAGTCTGTCCCCAGCATTCCCGTACCAACTGTAGTCTCTGCCACCCATCCTGCCCAAGTGGCCAGTCGTAAGACGGTGGCTCTGGGCTCTCCCTCTCTCCTCTTGGTGTTAATTGAACTCCACGTGGTCTTCCATGTGGCTGTCTTGCACAGAATGCTGGCCAGCCACCCCAGTCTTGAGCCTTCAAAAGCCAGGGCCCCCTGCTTCTCCCCACCTGTCTCTGGGCTCAGAGTCTCCCATCCAGAGAAAGAGAACTGTGAACTTTCCCCAGCACTTTGGAGAGATGCTCCAGGGAGCTCCAGCCTGCATAAGGGACTCAGAACAGAAGGTACTGGACCAAGAAGCTACGCGGTCTTCAGCCTCACTCTAGCTTTATGCTGCAGACTCCCCAGCTGGGGGGTATCATGGGGATCACCTTGGCTGCCATCGTCACCCAGGACCTTCTCCCAGGTCCCCTTCTCTCATTCGTGAAACTTACAGGGCTCTTTCTCCCAGTCTTCCCACATTTGACCCAGCGTTTATCATCTGCCTGATTAATTACGAAGGGGCCCTTTTCCAGGGCCTCACCCACTTTCCTCAATAAATGTGAACCAAGTTCACCTTCTAGAAAAGAAAAAGAAGAAAAAAAAAATCCCACATAGGAGCACATCAGATAAACCCTCTGTCCACTGTGCCTCAGTGATGAACTCGTCCTGCTCTTGACCTGGTCAGGATTCGCATTTCACATCAGCGGTAGCATTTTTAGGGGCAGGGAACGGCCCATCTCATTATGTACAAACGTATCGTAGGACTGTGAGCAGACTCTTCTATCACAGAGCCTCCTACGTGGTGATAGCCCTTGCTCATAGCTCATGTTATTGGAGCCTCTCTCATGCTATTGATTCTGTTTGCCTGTCAGTCTATTTTATTGCTTTTTAAAGAATGAATTCTGTTCCACTGATTATTTTTAATTAAAACAGCCCTCCTCTTGTTGGAGGGCTTGGGCTTTCCTTGCTCGTTTCTGTAGCTGTAGCTGATTTTGCGACCATCACCAGTTCTTTCCAACTGGAATTTTCCCATCCAAGAGTCTCTTCCCGACATCCCCCACATCACTCTGCCATTCCACAGGGTGGCCGTCCTCCCGCTGAGGATGGTCATCCTTGGTTCATATTATCCCTCTCTTGCCCTCCCGAGTGATTTAAGAGATGAAAGCCTTCTACAGCTGATCTTGTTTTCCCCGGGTTGTTTTCTGAATATTTAGCACCAGAAAGGAGCCATTTGGGAAAATATTATAGTCCTCTGAGTGACTAAAAGGAGAAGAGCCCCAAACCCCAGGGACAGGACAGATGGGGCCTGCTCCTGAGTGCAGCCCAGTGGTCAGAGCAGGTCCTCCCTCACTCCTGAGATTAGGAGAGTGGAGAGGAAGCCCAAAGATCCCGTCCCCGCGTGTTGTCCTCACCCACACCCAGGGCTATGGCTAAGGATAGACGAAGCTCAGCTGCAGAGCCCGTCTCCATGCCAGCACCTGGCGCCTGCTCGGATCTGGAGTGGCGAGTTTTCACACGAGCCTTCCCAGTGCGGAGGGCGGTCTTGGTCACGATGGCTGGATAGGAGGAGTAAATGTCCAGAGGAGTTCTTGGTACGTGATCATTTCAGACAGCAGCCCTCTCAAAACTGGTCTAACAGCTCTGAAGCGTCCACCCTGTAGGAACAGAAGTGTCCCTCCTGGCACTGTCCCACAGAGGAGCCCCCAGCCACCGATGGCCACAGGGCATTTGACATGCGGCTTCTGCCACCGAGGAACTGGATTTGTATTTTTACTTGACGTTCCTGGGTTTCAATGTGGGTGCCCCCGTGGCAGGGCTTCTAAGCGCAGGCCTGTCGTGTGGGGTTTCAGTCACCCAAACCTCGGTCTCCACCGGAAGAAGCCTCACCTCTCCCCTGGGGGCTCCTTGTCTTCACAGACACGCACGCCCTGGTCAGCCTGCTTCAGAATCTGAACAAGGCGAACTACAACCTGCCCATCATGGTGACAGATTCAGGGAAGCCGCCCATGACGAACATCACAGATCTCAGGGTACAAGTGTGTTCCTGTAAGAATTCCAAAGTGGACTGCAACGCGGCGGGGGCCCTGCGCTGGAGCCTCAGCCCCGTCCTGCTCCTCTGGCTCTTCAGTCTAGCTTGTGAGTCGGCCCCCACCCCTGTGCATGCGCCCCTGTGGACAGGGACGTCCCCACACTCACAGCCCATTTGTTTTCCCTTCTGATTTTGCTGTTTTTCTGTTGTCGTGTATCTTTCCAAGAAAACTTATCCCAGAAGAAGCATTCCTCTTTGGTTTCTGTCCATAGGATAGAAAATCTTACAAGTAAAAGTGCTCCAGCTAATGTGTAAAGGCCTGCAACCCAGGTGACAAGCAAAGCTTCTTGCAGATGCCACTCAGCTGGAGCTAATGAAAATGTGCCCAGATGGGTGACTGGCCCACCAGGGGCCTGTCTCTGTGTTGTGCAGGACGATCCCTTACAAGGTTAAGGCAGACGCTGCGCCTTTCTAAGAACAGTCCTCCGAAGCCGGGTGGGGGAGGTTGGTATAAGGAAAGATAAATGTATCATTCACATGTTTTCCCGCTGATCAGTAGTAATGAATATGATATAATGAAATACTACTTTAAACAAATGAATCATGCTGGGTAGTACACATGTGAGCACAATGTGAGCAAATCCTGGCCAACTCTTTGCTGCTTGTGGAACATTAATTAGCACCGTTTCAGCCTTCACAGTTTTTCACAATAGCTATGCATGCTGACTGCAGCACACGTGCCCGTTTTTATAAATAAAGTTTTATTGGAACACAGCCTTGCCCATCCTGGGACGTCTGCTTTCCACTACAGCAGCAGAAATGAAGTCTTGTGCAAGAGGCTGTGTGGCCTACAAAGCCAAGAACACTTACTATCAGACCTTTATAGAAAGGGTGCCAGCAGCCACTGCCTGCTGTAAGGCATCCTCCATAAGGGGCCTGAGGTCATGGGCACAGACCACACCTGTCACACAGCGTGGGAGGAAGAAGTGGGGTTCTCTCCTCCCCTCAGAAAAGATTCGGATCCCAGTAGACTAGCATTATCCAGGAGACTTTCTTCTCTATCTCCTTCGTTGATTGGGTGATTTGATCCCCGTTAGCCTGGAAAGGTCCCTGGGCTAGTGAGCTACGGAGCCAGCAGTCGCCATTAGACCACCTACTCCTTGGAGATAGATGAGAAAGCACGTGCATTCAGTATGATGTTGTAGCTGGCTTTATTGCAACTGAGAGGTGAACAGAAGGAGCTGTAGGTCCTTCTTTGACTTCTAAAAATAAAGGAAATAAAACTAATAACATTGAGGGTAAAAAAAAAGGAAATGAGATTATTGTTACTGTGAATTTTGTTGTATAAATTATATACTGATAACACTGGGGAGTTGATTCTTCCCTCAGCGCCCACCTGGAGTAGCAGACAGCTTGTGGCGAGGCTGCGTCTGTAGTTTCCAGCACAGCTCGGTGTGGGCTGACACGGGCAGTCTTAAGAGACTCGTCCAGAAACCTTTCTGACCATTGCTTTTGCCTTATTAATCAGAAATAGCAAGAATAGAAAAGGAGATCAGTGAACCGTTTTAACAAGTACCAAAATCCAATGTCTCTGTAGTGGGGTGTGGGCTGGTGGAGAGCCAAAGACAGCTCATTTTACTCCCCTGAAATTTCTCATTTGTTTTTTTTTTAACTAATGCATTATTTGCATACGATAAAATCCACCTGGTTTAAGGGTACAGTTTGATGAATTGTGTTGACCATCCTCAATCACGAGCCACACCCCAATCGAGAGAGTTCCCTTTGCTATTGATCCTTTCCCACCGCCAGGCCCTCACTGATCTGCTGTCTCTAATGATAATTTTGCCTGTTCTAGAATTTCCCAGGGTGCATCACTATTCTGTTCCTTTTTATTGTGAAGCATGTTGCAGGCAGAAGCAGAGCCCGAAGAGGCTCGGAACATGAGTAGAACGGGCCATCCTCTGCCTGCAGGTGGCTCCAGGTCATGCTTTGTAGAGCAGCCATGGTCCCTTCAAGTGATCTGACTGCATGGACAATGATAGGTGACCCTTGAGGGATTTCTAGGTGCCACGCACATGCAAGCAAGAGCTTTACATAAATTACATAGATTACCTCGTGTAATCATCTCAGCACGGCTAGGAGGTAGGATCATTTACATTATGGTCTAAATTGACTTAAGACGGGGATTGGAGACTCTAATTTGAAAACAAAGGGCTGGAGACTAATTTAGTGGATTTTATTCAGTCCAAAATTTGTTTTAATTTTTAACCAATTTGCCCCCTAAGGGACAGTTGGAAATGTCTAGAAACAGTTCTCATCGTGATATCTGGGAAGATGCTGCTAGCGGCACCTAGTGGACAGAGGCCAGGGCGCTGCTGAGCATCTGCAGCGCACAGGACACCTCAGCGCCAGAGGCATCCACCCCAAGGTCACCAGAAGCCTGCCTCCCAGGGTCTCTAGAAACAGTGAGATTTGGGAGGCAGCCCAGCCTTGAACAGTCAAACAGCTTGTGACCATTTAGAAAAGAAAAAGGACTGAGTGTCCAACTACAGAACCTCTGAAGGATGTTCCTCCTTTTGCTCCTTCAAAAATGCTCCATATTTCACAACTGTCTTGCAATTTAGCTGCAAATGAGACCCATCCCTTGTGGCAAATCTAAGTGCCACATCAAAACCTAGAAATTGTGAGCAGAATGGAGGCCATCTTCAGGGGGCCCTTGTGGGCAGAGGCAGGACGACGGATTGCAGGTAGCTGACAGAGGCTGGTGCGCTCGTGCATGCCACCCACAGTCTGACAGGTCCCCTCCTCTCACTCTCCTGATGGCACAGGACTCTCTGTAACAGAAGCCCGGCGTGGAGGGCTCTGACGACTGGCACTGGAGACAGGATGGTTTCCACTGCTTAGAGAAACCCCGCTCCTGGCTGGAATCCAGTGCTCAGCTCTGCGGGAGCTGCTTGGGCTTGGAAGTGCTTGCAGGGAATGAGGCAGAAGGAAATGCTTCACCTCAGCTGGATCTGGGCATCCTCAAGGAGCGCCTCCCGGCTGACAGCTGAGCTGGGGAGAGCAACAGTCTCCATCACTGGGCCCGTCCTCTCAGGGGACCTGAAGAAGTGGCCAGGAGCAGGAACTGGGCTACTGGGCTGCTATACACACCCTACATGCATGTCACCCTCTGTGACCTTTTCCATTGAGTGACATGCTCTCACAGCCCACAAATCTGCTACACGGTGCCTCTTGTCCCCTGGGAGCACAGTGCTGCATACCTGTAGTTGGTTGATAATGGCTTTCAAAGATGTCCTCTTTCTGACCCCTGGATCCAGGAAACATGGCATCCTACCTGGTAAAAGAGACTTTGCAGGTTATTAAGCCAAGGGTGGTAAGATGGGTGGTGGCCTTGAGTTAGCCAGGTGAGCCAATATCATCACAAAGTCCTCACAAGAGGGACAAGGAAATATTGGTTACATAAGCCGCGTGATGGTGAAAACAGAGGCAGAATTAGAGAAGATGCTACGCTGTAGGCTTTGAAGGATGGGGATGCGGACATCTGAAGAGGCTGGGAAAGGCCAGCAGGCAGACAGAACCAGCCCTGCTAACACTGAGTTCCCTCTGTAAGACTCATCTTGGACTCATGACCTCCAGAACTGTCAAATATATCTGTGTTGACTTAAGCCACAACATTTGTGGCCATATGTTACCACAGTAATAAAAAACAAGCATAACATTCTGTGACCAAATATATATATATGGGACAATCATCAGTATCTTAGCTGCAGGTCCCCTTGCTCAGCATTTAGCACCGCTGTGCTAATGTGCATGACTAGGCTCATTGGTAGCAAGGCTAATTTCGACTGTTGGCCTCAGAGGAGGGATTTGGCATCTGAAGTCATCATTAACATTTTCAAAGAAATTCAGTGTGTGTGTGTGTGTGTGTGTGTGTGTGCGCGCGCGCGTGCTGGGGATGGAACCCAGGGCCTCATGCGTGCTAAGCATAAGTTCTGCCTCTAAGCTGCACCCCCAGCCCCAAGTCCAGCTTCTTAACACATAAACCAGCAGCACCATTATTCTCTCTTCAAATGTCATGCTAGAGAGAAAAAATAAATTCCCCAAGGTGGTGCGGTGTTTGTTACAGCTTGTCAATCACTTATCCAGTGTTTAGCTAAAATGTTTTGAATTAAGTTGTGATATCCGCGACCTAACTCTGAGCCTTTTCCATTCAGGTCTGTGAGAACTCCTGACATCTGAAGCTTGACTCCCAAGTTTCCATAGCAACAGGAAAAAGAAAAAAAAAAAAAAAAAAACCTATCCAAATCTGAAGATTGCCGTTTACAGCTATTGAACTTCACAACTAGGCCTCAATTGTTCCAGGTTTCCATTTTCTTTGCGATTTCACTTAGTCTGTACTTCACCATTTTGACAGCATCTTCCTTCCTCCTTTAATTAATGGATCCTCTGAATTTTCCCTGAGTGTTTATAGATCATGACATAGAACTTGACCTTTGGGAGCAGGAACAATGACTACTTTTTCTGATGTGTTGACACGTTGCTAGCCCCTGCTCCTCACATCCAGCTGTGTCTGTGGGTGCGTATCTGTATATGTATGCGTATCTGTCTGTGTATATACACAGTATTTATAGAGAGAGACTATACAGGAGAAGCCTAGTTTTGATATGCCATTCTTCCTTGAAAGGTTAAACAGAGGGGGCAGAAGCTGAGACAGCTAAACCTCCAAGGCCTCAGTAAAAACCTTGGCACAAGTACAGGCCGCCGAGCAGTCACCTCTGTCCTGAAGCCACATCCCCACCAGCCCACTCGGTTTGAAGGCTGAATGCTGAATGACCAGCGGGCAGGTCCCTAGAGAGGCAGGGCAGAGAAGGAAGTCCTTTCTCATTAGTGTGAGGACCGCCACCAACTCCCACTGCCACCAAATGCCGTGATCCTGAGCCATGGCGGTGAGGGCAGAGCAGGAAACCGTGCCATCCCGTGCCAAGGAGGGGCTGCCACACTCCTTCACGGACACCAATGTGCATTGGTGTGCAGCCTGAACCCACAGTCCCGCTGGCTCTTGTGGCGACTAGGATCATGGTGGAGAACCTCCCCTCTGTGCTATGTGCACGACTGCAAATGCCATCACAGAGGTGAGACGTGCATACCAAGAGGCCAACAGGTACCATCTTGTATACACATATATGCCCACATGTATAGACATTTATGCACATAAACACCGTTCGTTTCATGTATACAGGCATAAAATAGAGTAAATACAGGTAGTTTTAAAAGTACCCTTTTGTGTGAATTGACTACCGTTGTTTGCAAACCTGAAAATAAAAGACGTTCATTATGTATGAGAAGTAATTGATTTTTATTCTGTGAGCATGTAAAAGTAAGAGGAAAGTTAGTGCTTGTACTAAGATCATCTTCTTGTTGATAAACTGTAAACGAACCATCTGAGCTCACACCAAATTTTTCTATCAAATAAAACTAGTGACAGCCTGTGGCTTTTTATTAGAGCTTGCCACGAGCTAGGGTAAGGTAAGTGTCTTAGCATATTTTAATGCGGTTGCTTACTAAAGGTTTTAACCACACACACACATGCACACCCATGCTTTCTTATGCAATCTGTTTGCCCTGTGCTTTTCAGTTAGCCTTTTGTAGGAAGTAGAAGTCACACGTTGTCTTTGTTGTAGTGAAATTATGCAGATAGAGTTCCATATATTGTATTTGTTTCAATAGTAAATCTTTTTGGAACATATAGAATGCAGAGATTTTTTTTCCATTAAAATAAATGGGTATTGGTGGTTAAAACTGCTGGGCAGTAGCTTTTCTCTGATTTTATGTGTGTCTAATATCACTGATACCAGGTCTTGTCTTGGTGAAGTTCACAGTTTTGAGCACCGGGGCCTCTGCACTCCCTGTTGGGGGGGTGGGTCTGGGAAGCCAGAAGCACCAGCTCACCGCTGGTCTTGGGCACCTTACTCACGTCACCATGACTGAAAAGTTGGTGGCAACTCACAGACAAGAGCACTGTTCTCAGGTTGATGACCATATTTAGCAGTCAGTGATGTGTCCATAGTCCCAAGACATGGGGATCTTCTCTTGAATAAGTCCCTGTGCTTAATCAGGGGACATCACACCTTCAACATGACATGACCATTATCCACCAGTGCAAGACACCACGCAGGGCAGGGACTCTAAGTCTGCACATGCACATCTTATAAGTTTTCCCTCTTGGGCTTTAGAGGGCACAACCATCTGCCTCCCGGTGCACCTCACTGCCCTCCTGCTGCTGGGCCAGGGGAGAATGTTCACCCTTGAACGACCCAAGGAGGACCCAGCCACAGCCAGGTGGTAGACAGCCTGACCCACCTCCCACCTGACAATCAGAAAGCTCACCCACCAGCTGACCTTGAGCCATCTCCAGGGGGAAATACAGAAGGAAACAAAGGGTAAGGCTCTTGCTTCTCTCCCAAGCCAAGACCTCCTGTCCTTGTGAAGGCCACAGAGGCGACACCACTTAGCTTGGAGTGGAGAACAGCTTGTGGGCCCCTTTCCTCATGGACAGGTAGAACTCACCTCAACTCTTCCTTATCAGGATGGAGATATTTCCATAGCATTGCTCTTCCTAATCCTTCCCAAAGAAGAGAAAAACAGGTGGATCTCAGAAGCCTAAGTGGAGTGTGTCTGGGATCGCAGGAGGTCTCAACATGCTAGGACGTGTTATATTGTTACCAAATGCACAAGTAGAGCTGAAATGGGATTTTACTGTCCCCTAGCATTTCTCTATGTCCACATTACTTTCTAAGAAGTCTAGTAAGAGCAAGAAACTACTTTCCCAGTTACTGAGCCCAAGACTGGGGATTTAATTTCCATGAGCCATGGCCACACTTTGCTTCTTTTTACGAGCACATCAACCCCCCTAGCTGACCCAAAATTACATTTTCCTTCCATTTTACATGACAAATTAATTATAACAGATCATTTATTTCAATAAGAATATGCAAGCGTTGTCTAATTTTGATCAGAGTCACTTCCAGGGCTGCAAGTTCTCCAAATGAGCGTCACTTCAGGCAGATACACCTGCTGCACCCCTCGGCCAATGCCAGCTAATCTGAACATCACGGCAAAATAAATCCAGTTAATTTTCATGGTAGGTATCAAATAAGGCTTTGACTCTTAAAGAACATTGTAGGAATTATGATAGCTCATCTCGGACTTTCAAAATGTCCTTTTACACAGTCTGATGGATGGAATAATCATTGATCATCAAAGTTACAGAGTAGATGAAATTGTTTTTCAGCCAAAACAGATAAATTGGATCCTGAATTTGGGATGTGACAAGTCAAATACTGTTAATAAGTCTGCGTTGGACGCTGGGCTCAGTGTGGTCCCACCCACAGTCAAGCTGTCCAGATGATGGAGAGAAAAGCAGTCTACGCTTCTGGGCTGTGTGGACAGGGAACAAGAGGTGATTGGCAGTAATGACGGTTTCCCTGTTGGCTGCCTGTTCCGAGGCCTCTCCACACAAAGCTCTTCCTGTGTAGGTCAGCTCAGCCACACAACAGCCACACTCCGCAACAACAGTCACCTCCCCGATTAGATGAGAAGGAAGAGGAGACTCCAAGCAGCCAAATGCTTGTGAAGGCAAGCAGTTGCCAGAACCAAAACCCAGGCCCCTGGCTCCGGGACTCCTGCTCTTCCCGCCACATACAGTGCCACTCCTAACTCAGCCTCAAAACCAGACTGAAGGCTTGGCGCAGACCAGGAACAGTCTGCAGCCTGGGCTGCAGGGGCTCTCTGTCCAGCCAGCTTCCTCCTACCAGGCACCTCTTACCAAGGCTCTCTACCATGAAATGCCTGGTGCTTTCTAATTCTGATAATGTTCTTGAAAAACTGTTAACAATATTCTAAGTTAATATTGGAACCTTAGAAAAATTTTCTATGCAAGATATCATAACTTCTTGAGTATCCCTGCCCCTTCCTTTCCATGGCTCGATAGCAAGTATGAAGAAGCTTCTGCCAGATTAATTCAGTACCTTGATTAGCCAAAAGTAAATTCACGTTCCCCAAGTGCCCATCCACTTCCAACCTACGGAGGCAGGGGAACCTGAGCAAGAAGGTGGCGTGGGATTTCCAAGAGTCCCGACTGTGCTTGGTTACAGGCACAATTCAAGTAAGACATTTTCAACAGGGTCTCCAGGCAGTTTCTGGTTTTATAAAATGTAGCCCAGTCGTCTGTCCAGGTACATTTGCCTTCGGCATGAGTGGACAGATCAACCACACCAACTGGAAAGGTGGCCAAGAGACAAACCCGGCCACTGCTTCTGTTGGTGACCAAATCACCCAGTGAGGGGGCTGCACCTTTCACACAGACCACCTACCCTCTCTTCTCTTCTTCACTGACCTTTGATACCTCTCTGAATTGAATGAGAAATGCTTTCCTAATTGTTTTCCTAATTGTTCCTGTGAAGTAATTAGCAATTCTTTCACTATCTCAAACCTGTTACTGGCTGGGGATACAGCTCAGCTGGTAGAGTGCTTGCCCCACATGCAAAAGCCCCTGGGTTCAGTCCCCAGCACCTGTCACCCTTCCTGGAGTTCCCATGGCTGATGTGCTAGTCTGCTACTAAGAAAATTCTCCAGCTGTGACTGTATTCCACACACGTACGTACCAGTTTTAGAGACAGAGTAAAACGGTGGGATGGGGCATGAGAATGACGATTTCAGATATGAACCTGAATTCTATAAATTAAGAATAAACCTATAAACAGAAATAACTCGCCAAATTGAGTAAGCAGAAAAGCCTCCTTCTGTCTTATGGTCACCTCCCTTATAGGAGGGTTGCTGAGCTAACCATGCCTTTGGTCCATTTGGCTAGACCTGCTCAGGGCGGGGTGATGGTGAGACACAGCCCCAGAGTAAGAATAAAGTCATTCTACATGGATAACACGCAGCAGTGGGATTACTGAGGGTCAAAGGCGAGGCTACAGAACAAAACCTGTTGTCAAGCACATGTCGGTGCTGTTGATGGAAAAACATTACTTGTCCCTCCTGAAATCAAAATTTTCAGAGATTTTTAAATGCACTTGTTCATAAATACCCAAAAGGGATAATAATTTATCTTCTTCAAATATTCAACTTGATCGCAGGTGCCAATCTTTCAAGCCCTGGTTGCTGAACTTGACAGTTTATGAGCTATAAATGGGCAGTTGCTCTATTGCGTAGTTGCAAATGAATTTGTTGCTTGTTTGTGAAACATTCAAGTCATGGTTATGGGGAATTCCATCCCATGTGCATGGCCTAGACAAGCTTCAACACTGTGAGGTCCAAATACAGTGACCAAGCAAAAGAACACAGCTTCTAGCAGTGCTTGAGTTAACCTGTAGCGTTTAGGGACTGTGACAAAGTCAAGTGCTGTCAGCTTAAGAATCAGCAATTCTTCCTTCATATTAGGCAAGTCCTTCTCATGTGGAAAAACAGACAGATGGCAGCTAGATAGACAGCAAGAAGCGTGGAGAGATACCGAACAAGAAAGAGAAGAGGAAAGCGTTCATACTTAACTTTGGTTGGTTTGTTTAGTTTTGGGATCTGGGGATTTAACCCAGGGACGCTTACCACTGAGCCACATTCCCAGCCCTTTTTATTTTGTAGTTTTTTGAGACAGGGTCTCTCACTAAGTTGCTTAGGGCCTTGCTAAGTTGCTGAGGCTAGCTTCAAACTTGCAATCCTCCTGCCTCAGCTTCCCAAGTCTCTGGGATTTCAGCAGGCACCATCACACCCAGCTAAGTGTTCATTGAATAAATGCCTCCTATGGAATAGACACTTCATGTATTTATATTTGTATGTACATATTACACTACACATCGAGTATATAATTTATATGTAATGTACATATACATACGTGTACATGTAATCGCACAATTCATGCAACATAAAATAGACACTGTCCGCATTCTACAGATGAAGACTCTGATGCTCACAGTTAAAATTCTCATGTGCCAGGAGTCATACCTGCTGAATGGTGGGCTGACCCTATGACAGCACCACCACATATGCCACTAGGAACAAAATGATGAGCTGGTGCCATCACACACCACACGTGAAAGTGGCAATGACTAAATAAACCTGGACCAGCAGGCCAAGCAGAAGAGAAGAAACCCGAACTTGTGCCAATGGCTGTCTTCCTCCTGGTAGTCTGTCTCCAGGAGACTGCTAGTTTGGGTAAATAAATACGAAACGATTTCTTGGCAGCCAGTCATGGAGACACTAATTTAGAAAATTGCCTCAAATGAACATAAGCAGTATAAACCAACACTCCAAACCACCAGCACAGCAATCTACAAGATCAGGACACCATTGAGCAACGCGCTTCCTCAGGAAAACGAGTTCTCGGGCCTTCTGTAGACAGCCGGGGAGGCCAAGGCCCCCCCTCGCCTTTGTGCAGTGCAGCAGGTGCAGCAGGTGCACTCAGCAGAATCCAGCCAAGCCTGGTTCTCACGGGTGTCCCAGCCAAGAGGATGGCACTGGGATGATGGTGCTTCCAAAGTAAATCTGCCCAGGCTGGGCTGTTTTCTCTGACCAAGCCCTGCATCTGGCCCTGGGCGAGGCCTGCATGGGTGGATGGTGAGTTCCGGCCCCCAGGGTCCTCCTGCCAGCAGGGCTGCCCTGGAGGATTGCTCCACATACAACAGGAACCCAGCACCCACAGGAATCCCACACCATCCTACCTGAGCTCAGTCCCCCAGAAGCCACCAGATATCCCCCATTCAGCAACACTTCCCCATGCTTCTCCTTTTCAAATAACAGAACCA